CTACAAAATTTCGTTATGACTGCTTTCATTTATCCCACAGAATTTGGAATGTTATGTTTTCATTTTCGTTATACGAGGAATTTTTAATACCATTTTTTACTTTTTCTCTCACTCAATTTTGATTTCCCACCCCCAACATAGTACTTCTAGTTTTAGCTGAGCAATAAGACAAATGAAAGAGATTAAGATACAAATAGGAAAGAAAGAAGTCAAAGTATCCTTATTTGGGGATGATATGATTTTATACATACCGTGTGAAAGAGTGTGAAAAGAGACTATACGAGTCAGAAAAAATCAGTGTCATCTGGACATTGCACAGTAGCCACACATATGAATTCGCAATGGTGTGACAGGCTCAAGACCTGTATAAGCCTAAACCAAATCAAATCCCATCATGCAAAGGGGAGTTGGACATGAAGAAAGGAGAATTTGGCTAGAAGCTATTGACAATTCTTAGCTGCTGGTAGAGAAAAGATCAATTTTCTCTAAAAGTGTATCCCTTGATAAGTCCATCAAGTTTCAGTAAAAGACCACTCATCCAAAAATAGTTCAGCAACACAAATTGACCTTGAAGGAGTGGGGTGGGAGACTCAAAGTTGGAGTGTGAAAGGAAGAAGAAGTGGAGCTGGGAAAAGAAAGGTGAATATGGTCAAAACATTACACAAAACTCTCAAAGAACTAATGTCTTTAAAAAGTTGGCCTCCCCACAAGTAGTCATCCCAGCACATGGGAAGAAGAGGTAGGTGAATCTCTGTGAGTTCAAGGCCAACCTGGTCTATATAGATATTTCCAGGACAGACAGAGTGTTCAGCATAGAGAGACCGTGTCAAAAAAACACTGGATTTCAAATGGTATAAACCCAGTAGGGTAAAGAAAAGCACTGATTGGACTAAGAGTGGCTCCCTGAGACAGAATCAGCCAGCTCTGATTGGACCAAGAGCAGCTCTCTGAGACACAGAATCTGCCAGTTCCAATTACACCAAGAGCTACAATAGGACTCAGAGTGGCCCCTGAGACACAGACACAGCAAGCACAGATTGGACCAAGAGCACTTGCTCAGACACAGGCACATCTTAGACCTACTGGAGGAAGAGATGGGAAGACACCAATGCAAAAATACATACAACAACATAAGAGCAATAGGGCATCACCAGAACCTAGTGGTTCAACAGCAGCAAGACCAGAAAAAAATCACAACATAGAAGAAGCAAAAGAAAGTGACCTTAAAAATAACTTTAAGAAGATGATAGAGGGCTTTAAAGAGGAAATGAAAAATTCCCTTAAAAGAAATTAAGGAAAAGACAAACAAAAAATTGGAGGACATCAATAAATCCCTTAAAGAAAGCCAAGAAAATCATGAAAAAGCAAACAAGTGAAGGAAACAGTTTAAGACCTGAAAATTGAAATAGAAACAATGAAGACACAAACCAAGGGAATGCTGGAAATAGAAAATTTGAGTAAATGAACAGAAACTTCAAATGCAAGTATAACCAATAGAATACAAGAGATGGAAGAAAGAATATCTGGTGTAGAGAATACAATAGAGGAAATAGATTCCTCAGTCAAAAAAAAAAAAAAAGTCATAACACAAAATGTCCAGGAAATCTGGAACAACATGAAAAGGCCAAACCTAAGAATAATAAGGATAGAAGAAGGAGAAGAATACCAACTCAAAGGCACAGAAAATATATTCAACAAAATCACAGAAGAAAATTTTCCTAACTTAAAGAAGGGTATACTTATGAAGATACAAGAAGCTTATAGAAGACCAAATAGACCCAAAAAAAAGTCCCCTCGCCACATAATAATTAAACCACTAAACATACAGATTAAAGAAGGAATATTAAGAGCAATAAGGAAAAAGGCCAAGTAACTTATAAAGGCAGATCCATCCGAATAACACCAGACTTCTCAATAGACTCTGAAAGCCAGAAGGTCCTGGACAAATGTAATACAGACACTAAGAGACAACGGATGGCAGACCAGACTACTATAACCACAAAAACTTTTAATCACCATAGACAGAGTGCAAAAGACATTCCAAGACAAAACCAAATTTAAACAATACCTATCCATAAATCCAGCCCTACAGAAAGCACTTGAAGGAAAAATCCAGTCTAAGGAAGTCAGATGCACCCACAAAAACATAGGCAATAGATAACTCCACAACAGCAAATGCCAAAGAAAGGAAATTCACACGTACTACCACCAAAAGATAACAAGAATTAACAATCACTGGTCATTAATATCCCTTAATATCAATGGACTCAATTCATCTATAAAAAGACACAGGTGCTGTGGGACGGTCTGTATGTCAAATTGCTCTGATTGGTCAATAAATAAAACACTGATTGGCCAGTGGCCAGGCAGGAAGTAGGTGGGAAAAAGGAAAGAGGAGAATTATGGGAAGCAGAAGGCGGAGGCGGAGAGACACTGCAGCCGCCGCCATGACCAGCAGCATGTGAAGACGCCGGTAAGCCACCAGCCACGTGGCAAGGTATAGATTTATGGAAATGGATTAATTTAAGATAAAAGAACAGTTAGCAAGATGCCTGCCACGGCCATACAGTTTGTAAGCAATATAAGTCTCTGTGTTTACTTGGTTGGGTCTGAGCGGCTGTGGGACTGGCGGGTGACAAAGATTTGTCCTGACTGTGGGCAAAGCAGGAAAACTCTAGCTACACACAGGCTAACAGAATGGATACGAAACAGGGTCCATCATTCTGCTGCATACAAGAAATGCAACTCAACTTCAAAGACAGACAATACCTCAGAGTAAAAAGCTGGGAAAAGACTTTCCAATCAAATGGACTTAAGCAAGCTGGTGTAGCTACCCTAACATCTAACAAAATAGACTTCAAACTAAAATCAATCAAAAGAGACAAGGAAGGACATTACATATTCACACACACAAAAAAAATCCACCAAGATGAAGTCCCAATTCTGAATATTTATGCCCCAAATACAAGGGCACTCACATATGTAAAAGAAACATTACTAAAATTTAAATCACACATCAAACCCCACACACTAATAATGGAAGACTTGGACACCCCACTCTCACCAATAGACAGATCTGCCAGACAGGAACTTAACAGAAATATAAGGGATCTAAGAGATGTTGTGACTCAAATGGACTTAATAGCTATCTACAGAACATTCCACCCTAAGCACAAAATATACCTTCTTCTTAGTACCCCATGTAACCTTCTCTAAAACTGAACACTTACTCAGTCACAAAGCAAATCTCAACAGATACCACCCCCCCAAAAAAAAAAAAATTGGAATAACCTTTGTTTTATCACACCATCATGGCTTCAAGTTAGATTTCAACAACAACAAAAAATTACAGAAAGCCTACAATAGCATGGAAACTTAATAATGCTCAACTGAATCACCAATGAGTCAAGGAAGAAATAAAGAAAGAAATTAAAGACTTCCTAGAATTCAATGAAAACGAATGTACTACATACCCAAATTTATGGGACACTATGAGAGCAATGCTAAGAGGAAAATTCATAGCACTAAATGCCCACATAAAGAAGCTGGAGAAATCTCACACTAGTGACTTAACAGCATACCTAAAAAGCTCTAGAACAAAAAGAAGCAAACTCACCCAGAAGGAATAGACAGATGCTAGGAAAAAATCAAATTGAGGGCCGAAATCAATAAAATAGAAACAAGGAGAATAATACAAAGAATCAATGAACAAACAATTAGTTCTTTGAGAAAATCAACAAGATAGACAAACCCTTATCCAAACTAACCAAAAAGGCAGAGAGAGAACACCTAAATTAACAAAATCAGAAATGAAAAGGGAGACATAACAACAGACAATGAGGAAATCCAGAGAATCATCAGGTCATACTTGAAAAACCTATACTCCACAAAATTAGAAAATCTAAAAGAAATGGACAATTTTCTTGGTAGGTATCACATGCCAAAACTAAATCAAGACCAGGTAAACAATTTAAATAGACCTAAGGAAATACAAACAGTCATTAAAAGTCTCCCAACCAAAAAAAGCCCAGGATCAGATGGTTTCAGTGCAGAATTCTACGAGAATTTCAAAGAAATAGCTAATATCAATACTCTTTAAACTGTTCCTCACAATCAAAACAGAAGGAACACTGCCAAACTCTTTTTATGAGGCTACAGTTATCCTGATATCCAAAGCACACAAAGATGCAACCAAGAAAATTACAGACCAATCTACCTTATGAACATAACTACAAATGGGTAATGAATGTGGCATATAATTCTTCACCCTGACACATTTTAAAGTCATTACAAAAAAAAAAAAAAAATAGCCTCTAATCCAAACACATGGAAGGCAGAGGCAGAAATAATCACTGGAAGTCTATGTCCCATGTAATTTATACAGTAAGTTCAGGCCAGCCAGGATCTATAGCAAAAGTACATATCAAACCAGTTTGGAAGCTCACACTTATAATCCCAGTACTCAGGCAACTAAAATAGAAAGTTTACTATGAGTTCAGGGCCATCCTGAGGTGAGAAATGAGATCCCATCTTAATAAATATATATACCATATATCAACTCAAGTGTGTTGCCATTCTTACCAATACTATTTCCTATAAAGTGCTAATAGGCCCCCTGTCCTGGCACACACACACACCAAATGAGGCTGTCACTAAGAGGAAGCTGAACCAACAGATCAAGATTCTTAAATCTTTATATCCAAGAAGTCAAGTTTTTAATGACTGTCTCACACATAACCTCTAACAAATGCTCAAAGAAGTAAAGGTGCTTGACAAAGTATTTGCCATGAAGATTATATTAATTCATAGTATACAAAATGCCCACAGGAAACTACTGGGCTTAAAGTTTCTACTCAAAAACCTAAGAATTAAAAAAAAAAATGATTATATGATTACAGTCCAAAAGTTCCTTACACTCAAAGAAGTAATTCTCTTCAATAATGCACAACACTCAATGCCTCATAACTCTAAAGGATGTAAATATTAAACAAGTGACTTACCAAGACTTAGGCTCCCCAAAGTGGAGATAATTAATACTGTAGAGATCCATGTCTTCAGTGTGCCATGCAAATGTCGTTTTCCACATTCCAAAATAGAGATAAGGGGTATTTACACCCTCAATAGAAATACCGCACTCTTCTTCAACCACATCCAAGACTGTATTTAGGCGAGCTATATTCCATTCATCCACACCCTAGATAGCATCAAAACAGGGAGAGGGAGCGCAAAATCAATGTTAGTAAATGAAAAAATAGCATTTATTAATCAAATATCCACTTGTCAGGTACTATACTCTTTATGTTTTATTTCTTAAAAATGGAAAATATAGCACTTATTCAAAATTAACAGGCAAATATTCATTAAAATTATTCCAAAATTACTATAAACATATTGCATTTCTATATAATTATCAGGGTAAAATTACATCCAATAACTGCATGATTCTCAAGAAAAACTAAAGGTAAGGATGTACTTCCTACTTGGTGCTACCCAAGAAAGAAAAATAACCATCTTTAAAGCAGATAACCTGGGATATGATGCTAATATTTGGCATGTATTTAATTTGGGAACTGAAGCTTTGTTTGTTTCTTGTTTGCACATTAGTTATGAGGGGCTATCTTAGGAAATCAATAGCAAAAGCTATCTTCTAACAGCCCTCCCCGAGTCATGTCCATTTTATTGTAGTATGTGATCCACTGTATCCTACAAATTTCATGCTATTGGAAAAATTCACATTTTTCCAAACCATAGACCCTGTGCTCAGAGTAGTCCTCAATAAATAATAACAGCATACACTGCCAAGAAAATTTAAATACATAATTTCATCTGTAAATAACTCATCTAAATTCTGGTAAAAATGCTGGAATAGTTTAGTTTTGTTTAACCCCAGATAGTTGGTGTATGGGAGAGAAATGGTTATAAATTACTGGCATAAAAGTAAAAGGGGTTTTGTTGTGTTATTGTTTGTTTCTTTTTGTTAAAAGTGGCTGGAATGGTAGTAAATGCCTATAGTTTAGGAACTTTGAGAACTAGAGCCAGGAGGAGGAAAGACTTCAGCTCAGCTCCATAGCTAATTTAAGGCCAGCTCAGGCTACATAAGACCTTGTCTCCAAAAAATAAGAGTACTAAAAATGTTAAAGAAGTAGGAAAAGATTCTGATTTTAAGAGAATTACCAATCAATAATTAATTTACTGTAATTTACAGCTGTTTAGGATGTTTAGCAAACTATATTGTCTTCCCTACATACTTTCCTCATAGTTAAATTCTAATATTCAAAATTGGGCACATCCTTTTATAATTACAGGGCATCTATAATGCTGTTAAATCCATTTCAACCTCCACATATTGGTGTAAGAGAGGGACATTAAATATTCTATGTGAACTAAAAAGGCTCTCTCTAATACATATCACAGTGGCCTTACAGATGACCACTAATATCATTTCCCTTTTACAGTAAAAACCTTTAGGGTTGTTTCAGGTTTTTTTTTTATCTTTAAATAATTGTAATAATTTAATTAATAAACTAATTCCATTTTCTAACACTTTGGGGTTAGTCCCAAAGTATTGATGAAGCAGTAAAAAAAAAAGTCATTCAAACATCTTAGTTTACTAAATAATTCTCCTCCTGTCTACAACTCAATCCCTATTTTAGCCCATCTTCAGTTCTTTTTGACTTCGCCAACTCACTGAACCTCTCTTTGAGGGACCCACAACTGCTAGACTAGGCTGAAACTCATGTAGGGGAATTATATCCTCCTTCATGTCCTCCATTCTGGTCTCCTCAACCTTATTTTTAGTCCTGCTGCCACCTGCTAGCCTGAGCCCCACCTCCCAGACCATCTACATTCCCTGGGACTTGGTCCCAGGACACCCCAAGTTCTTCCTATAGTGTCACCTTTCAGCCCTTTCTTCTAGCTCATCTTTTGTGACTACTTGATGACCTGCAAAACAGCTCTCTACCCCACAAGCACCACCCTTGGCTACAACATCATCATTCCGACAAACTGGCTGCCTACAGAATGGAAAAATATTTTTACCAACTACATCTCCAGTAGAGGTCTAGTATGCAAAATACATAAAGAACAGACACGAGAGACCATTTCCAAGACTTCAGATATAGTAGTGCCTTTGTAGCTGGAGACCCTCTGTAAATTAGATTCTTGGGACTTTGAGAGCAAGTGTCATGAGATTACTCATTGAGATTTGCTGTGGATATCATTCTATATAAATAAAACACTGATGGCCAGTGACCAGGCAGGAAGTAGGTGGCCAGGCAGGAAGTAGGTGGGACAAGGAGAGAGGAGAATTCTGGGAAGTGGAAGGCTGAGGGAGAGACACTGCAGCCACCGCCAGGACAAGCAGCATGTAGAGAGTCTGGTAAGCCACCAGCCACGTGGCAAGGTATAGATTTATAAAAATGGGTTAATTTAAGATGAAAGAACAGTTAGCAAGAAGCCTGCCACGGCCATACAGTTTATAAGTGATATAAGCGTCTGAGTGATTATTTTATAAGTGGATTGTGGGACTGCGGGGCTTGGGGAACCTGGAGAGAAGCCCTCCAGCAACAGAGATTTGATGAACAGAATACTGCAAGACTATGGGGGAGGGGTGGAATAGCTGAATCAGATCCAAACAACATTCAGTAAATCAGTAATCTGGTCGAAACCGAAGTATATAAAATGCAACATTGACATAGATGCCAAACACCTTGCAGGACACTGCCAAAAGGCTACATAGGGATAGTAAGAGAATTTACAAAGAGATGCCCTATCTACGATTCCATCTAGGAACTATGGACATCCAAACTACCCACACATCAAGACAGCATCAGTAATCCAAACAGCCAAAGTTAGATACAGTAAGAAGAGCATGACCCATCACAGAAGACCCCCCCAGAAGCAAGGAAAAAGCAAAGTATACTGAGGCCAAAAATCAGGCAGGCAGGCTAGTCAGTTTCCTTAAATGGCATCTCCTCCAGTCTCTCTCTTCCTCTGTATTTACCCCCTGTATTTAATACCCCAATATCATTTTATCAAGCTACCTCAGGCTTATTCTATTCTTGCTCTATATTATCTTTTCTTTCTTCTCTCTTTTTTGTTTTGTTTTTTACTTTTTTCTTTCTCCTTGTTGTTTCCTTTTGCTTTTTACTCTCCCAACAAACTTCCCCTGTCCCACGGCTCCTGAAAAATGGAACAGTCCTACACTATCAGATAGCATATCTTTACTTCTCGACAGTTTGTCATCAAACATCTCCCATCCTGTGACATCTGCTGCAATCCCTTTGCCTATTTATTTCTTCCTCCTCTATTTGGTTTCTAGCATCCCAAAGCTAATCACTAGTCCTACTAGCGCTTTTTCCTTCTTTGTCTGTTGTTCTTATTTTCATTCATGCTCATAATAATTAATATATTAGTACACACAGAATTACCAGTGTCCCTTTAGTCCATGAAGGGATTAGTGCTTAAGGGTAACTTTTATAATCCAATATGAATAAATACAATATGAATAAATCCAATATGAATAAATATAATCCAACATGAAAAAATTACAAGGGAGCAAAGTCAACTGGATAAAACAGGGAAGTCAATACAGGATATGAGAATGGAATTCAATAAAGGCAAGTATTGAAGAAACATCAAATGAAGTGATGGTAGAAATCAAAAATTCAGTAAAGTCAAATGAAAACTTTTTAATAGAAAATAGATAAATTGGTACAATGAGAGAAAATAATAAATTTTTAAAAACATGAACAGAACAGGGAAACTTTTTGAGACATTCTCGATAGCACACTTGTCTCGCATGTATAAAGTCCTAGGTCCAATCCGCAGAAATTTGAAGCGGAAGAAAGGAAAAAGACAAAATCAATGAATTACAGGCATGAAACTAAGAAGAGAATTTATTACAAAGAAATGGAAAATATTTTGAAGATAATTGTAGAAAAAAAATTTCCCAAACCTAGGGAAACATGGACTTATCCACATATAAAAGGCATTTTAAAAAATTGAAGGGGGCCGGAGAGATGGCTCAGAGGCTAAGAACACTGGCTGTTCTTCCAGAGGTCCTGAGTTCAATTCCCAGCAACCACATGGTGGCTCACAGCCATCTATAATGAGATCTGGTGCCCTCTTCTGGCCTGCAGGGATACATGCAGACAGAACACTGTATACATAATAAATAAATAAATCTTTAAAAAAAAAAAATTGAAAAAGAAACCCCCATGTCATACTATAGTTAAAACAGTAAATATATAGAAGTATATAAAGAGCTATAAATAGAAAACCATCAAGTCACAAAAAAGGACAGGCCATCAGTATAACAAATAATCCCGCAACTGAAACTTTAAAAGCCAGAGGGGCATAGAAAATTGCACATTCTGGAATACCACAAGTACCAACCCAGGCTATAATATGTAGCAAATTTGTCTATCATGACTGGGGGATAAATTAAAGAAATTAAAATAGTTCACAATAAAAACAGGCAAAAAGATTAATGAACATCAAGTCAGCTCTACAGAGGATACAAGAAGAAATTCTTCAGAGTCAAGAAAGTGATAAACACAACCAATGGAGATTTACAAAAGCTACAGGAGGAGAAATATAATACATTTGTTAAACAAAGAATCATTAGCAAAACAGCAAACACTACAAAGTCAACAAAAGGAACACAGTTTTCAATAATAATTCTGAATATTAATTAGTCTCAATTCCCCAGTCAAAAAATAGACTCTACTAGGGGGGAAAAAACAGGATCCATCTATTTGTCACTGGAAGAACAAGAAACAACAGACATGACTTAACAGTGATTAAAAAGTCATTCTTGGAATGCAAATATGAAATAAGAAGAAATCTCCATTTAAATGCCTAACAAAAGTAGTCCAGAGAGATAAGAGAACTCATTTCATACTTTTGAAAGAAACAATCTGTCAAGGACATTATAATTCTAAACATAACACATTTGATAAAATACTAGTAGGTATAAAGGTAAAGATTAACCCTAACACAGTAATACTGCATGATTTCACTACCAGTAGCTCTTATTGATAAACAATTCATTCCAACAAAAAACAGAGAAGTATAGGATTTAAATGGCATCATAAACCATATGGATTTAACAGACATCTATGGGACACGCCATCCAAACACTGCAGAAAACACATTTGTCTCAGGATTACATGGAATTTTCTTTAAAATAGA